TAGCCCACTGTACCCAAACTGTATTTTTTTTTGTTCAGAGTTCTGAAATTTCTCTTCTGAAAGTCTGGGCTTTTGCAAATGTCTTTTCATCCATGAATGACTGTCTGAGTCAGTGTTCTCCAGGGGCTCCCTGACGTCAGTCCCCGAGTGGCTGGAGTAGGTCCATGGTTGGCATCAAGTTCTCTCTGATCACATCATGCATGTGTGGGTGGTGAGTCTCCTTCTGGGGCCCTTGGCATATAGTTCTGGATACCACAGCTCCCTCAAAAGAACTTTTGTCCATGGGTGGAGACTGAATATGTGTTGTTGGAGGTGGAGGACAAAAAACAAGGGACATCTTGTGCTGCCATGATGTTGATGTCACTTCTGACTATAATATTGTATTCCAGCACCCCTGTTTCTGTGGTTTTCTTCCTGTCTCCAGCAGTTTCCTTCAGAACCAACTGGAGGGGAAATATTTTCATACAAGAAAGAGAAGGATAAAATCTTACAACTGTAATAAAGAAAGGAAACTCTAGCCCCTCCAAGTTGAGCTAAAAATAAAACACTGACTCACTAGAAATTATTGGTAAGAGACTTGTGCTTTGAAACATTCACTTTAATGAATCAGGGACAAATAAAGGCAACCAAGTAAATTATCAAACACAAAGTCATTTTTTCACTTAACCCAATTTAAAGCAAATGGCCTTAATTGCCTCATTGAATGTGGAAGGTCCCATTGGCCACATAGTGGCTTCTAGTGGTAAATGGATAAACTTTCAATGAAGAAATTGCTTTAGTTAAGGAAGAGTCTGTTGGGAGAAAAGTTTGATCTCCAAGTTGGACTTGTTCCAACAAAGGGGTAGCATGGGAAAGCATTCTGCATAGAAGTAGATGACAAGTGTGAACATTACAGTTGAGACTACAGTGGACATGTAAAGGATGTAAAGTTACTTTTACATGATACAATAGCATGCATGAGTGGAAAATCTCAAATGCCCTAATGCACAAGGATAGTGATTGTCTCAAATGTTGAGACTAGAAGTTTTATTTTGATCCTATAAGAATTTCTGAGAAGGAAAATATGTAGTAATATTGCTAAAGTGAGATAGATTGGGTGAGTCTTTAGTTTAGTTTTCCCAAGAACAGGCTGTATTCTTGGATCACCCAATTTTCTCATCCATAAAGTATAGAGATAATTGCAGGAGTCCCTTTCACTTTAAAAATAATTTATAAATCAGCAATCAAGAGAGTAAGAATTGCTCCAAAACCTGAGATGAAAGAATATCATGCAGCCTTTTTTCTAAATGAAATTAAATCTTGTTTATTTATTCCATAAATAATCATTATATGACTATTATATGCTAGACAGAAACTCAATGCTGGGGATATTCTCAGGAAAGAAGGCAAATAAGATCTTACATTCTTAGAACTTTTTTTAGCTCTCATTTTCCAAGGATGAAGTCCACCACCACTCATTTTTCACAGGTCTTGCCCTATCTTCTGGATTATTCTAACCTTGTGATTTACAGCGCTCCGGAAAAAGAAGAGCAATCCCTGGCTCTCTCTCTATGGCCATCATCATTGCCATTGCTTTTTGTCTGCTTCTGCAAGATAGTTTTTGATTGTGTGGCTTTGCAGATAGTATCTCTTCTCAAGAACCAAATGTTACTCTAGGAACCTTTGCCAAGGCTCTATCTGCCTCCTTTTCCACAGAAGCTCAGTATCTGTCAATATCTTAGATCCTGTCCCTTTTATGGTGCTATGAACAAATAGGCCAGTGTACACCACTCCACAAAAGCCCACCTTCATCCACCTTCCCAGCCTTTAGGAATCAAGCTACTCTGAGGCTTTGAACAA